TACAGCTAGTTGTGTATTATTTTAATTGAACCACATGTAGTCCTTCCTGGAATGTTTTTACTTTCAAGCTTGCCATTATTTTCTGGCTAATGCCTTTTTTGGATAAAAAATAAATCACTTAATCAACACATCTGTCTATCTTGTTTTTAAACATTTTAAAACTCTAGCAGTATATAGATTTTTTAAGTCTGCTGTACCGTACATCAGTGTTCTTTATGGTTTTTACAGTACGGAGTTTTTTTTTGTGGTTTTTTTTTTTATTGGACTCGATTTATCTTCTGGCTTTGTGTGCACTAACATAGACCTCTTAGGGAACACATTCTCTTTTTAAACTGTAATTATATATATATATAAAGATGTGAGGACCTATACTGATAACTATTTTTATACTCCTACAGGAGTACTTCAACAGTTCCATGGATTCCTGGATTCAGCACAGTATTGGAGACTATTTATTAAAGATAACCACGGTGCGTCATTTACTTCACTTCATGGGGTCCAATTCTATGGAGTGGAATCGTCATTTCTGGACTTCTTAGAAGATCTTCATATGGACTATCTAGCTTCAACTCTTACAGGAAAGGTACATAAACACATCTTCACCCGCTTGTAAATTTTGATCGTTCTGTGCCCAATTTTTATAAACATGCATTTTCTGAATATTTATTACTAGCTGTTTCAGTATTTGTTTTAACACAAAGCAACATTAGGTTACCTGTTGTGTCCGTAGCAAGGGATAGAACCCCAGATCTTTGCGTTGTAAGTCCGTAAACTTACCGCTGACCCACCAAGGGACTTATTACCAGTCAATGTATTTATTCAATCTAAACACACAATGTTTCACGAGGTGATATTAAGAAAAGTCAGTACAAATAAAATTAGCTTGAAGCATAAAAACTGTTTGTCTTCGTGTTGATTGTTTCTATATTAAATGTTTGTACAAATTAAATATTATTTATTTATTTTTATTTTTTTGAATAAACCATTCAACAATATAAAACATTTTCAAAATGGGCTATCCGTGCTGTGACCACCACGTGTGTCGAAACCCGGTTTTTAGCGTTCTAAATCTTCAGATTTATCGATGAGCCACTGGTGGGCAAAATTCTTTTATAAATGAACTTCATGAAGTTGAGTACCTCTCATTCACTTGTATTAGTTTTGTATTTCAAATGGCTTATTTTCAGCACTAATTGTCAGTTATGTTACTGTTTTGAAGTGATTGTTGTTGTATCTTTTTATCTGAATAAACTGATTTATATTAATCTTACTTTTTGTGCATATAGGGATACTGTAACGAGGAAGCACTAAAGTATCTTACAAAATCTGACATTGATGAGATGGTAAGAATTCAATATTCAATTCTTAACTCTTCTCTTTTTTTAACCTCCGCCACCGGAGGATGGTTGTACCCCTGTGTGTGTGTGTGTTTGTTTGTCAGCAAGTCTTCTCGAAAACGGCTGAATGGATTTGGACGAAAGTTGGCATACATTTGGATTACGACCCAACTTAGAATTAATTAGTTTTTGGAGGGTCAAGGTCACGAAATTAAATATGAGGACCGATTTTTCACACTATGTTTGCTCTATAACTCAGTCAAAATGATCGGATTTTGATGAAACTTGGTGGACATATGTAGAATATTATTCCTCATTGTCCTGCTCAAAATGGTCCGAGTCCGTTGATAACGATGGACAATCGGACACATGTTTGTATTTTTTGAGGGCCAAATATGGCTGAGGTATGCGCTCTACTAAGTGCCCTCTAGTTGACTTTATTTTTACTATTATTTTTCACTTCCTACACACGTACTAATGCAGATAAAACTAAAAAACGGGTCACTTGTTTTATTTATTTAAAGTTAAACTGGCTTTAGGAAGCTAGCACATATGGATTTTATATAAAGAGTTATAAAGGTTTGTTGTGTAAATGTTCTAAAAATTCATTTTTCTTCAGCGCTATATACTAACTAGAAGATACAGCAGTTGGTGTATTATTTTTAATGAAACCACATGTAGCCTTCCTGGAATGTTTTTTACTTCAAGCTTGCCATTATTTTCTGGCTAATGCCTTTTTTGGATAAAAAATAAATCACTTAATCAACACATCTGTCTATCTTGTTTTTAAACATTTTAAAACTCTAGCAGTATATAGATTTTTTAAGTGTTTTCGAAGGAAGAAATCCCGGGCCAAAGTTGAAATGATAGTCCGATATATTTGGCTTGAGAGGGTAAAAACCTCAGGATAAAATGTTTGGAATGACTGTACTGTATATTTGGGTTAAGAGGGTAAAGACCCCAGGACAAAATGTTTGGAATGACTGTACTGTATATTTGGGTTAAGAGGGTAAAGACCCCAGGACAAAATGTTTGGAATGACGGTACTGTATATTTGGGTTAAGAGGGTAAAGACCCCAGGACAAAATGTTTGGAATGACGGTACTGTATATTTGGGTTAAGAGGGTAAAGACCCCAGAACAAAATGTTTGAAAGGACAATTCGTTATATTCGACTTCAGAAGTGATTTTCCTCGAGTATTTCTGCCGTTGTTTACAGTAAACCGATCATTTCCTTCTACAGATCACTGACCCTGAAGACGGGATAAAGTTGTGGAACGCTATTCACCGTGAGAAAAACGATAACGGTGAGACAAGTATCTATTTTAATCCTCGTATTAATACTCAAATAACTTTTGGTAATACTAAAGGAACCATAAGATGGTCAATATTAATACAAATAGTTGATGAATCGATTAATCAGAATTGGATTTCTTCCCCAATATATATATATTATTGTAAATATAAATGTATAAATTAAGTACATTAAAATGTTCAAAAATAAATGAACTTATTCAATATACTTTCCTTTTTAAAATTAAAATATTATTATAATTATATAATTCTATAATAATAAGAGAAAGTAGTATATGTCTGTACATTTGGAAAATATATGTACTTAATTTAGATTATTTATGTTTAGTTGAAAAACGGTATTT